TAGAGACTGTATGATCAGAGTGTATTTATACTCTACAGTTTGTGGGCGGGACTCAGCGGGACTGACCATGACGTCACATCCGTAAATCAACCTGTAGAAACCTGCGGAGGAAGTGGAGGGAAAAGACGCTCTGTCAAAAAACAGAACATGGTGGAGAAACATCGACATTTAAAGTTTTCTACAGTATCAAAGAAATGTAATGGTGGCAATCACATGTGGGAATGTCTCATTTGCAATAAATAGTTACTGATAAATAATTCGGCTTATTTTACTTTTCAATTTGAGCTCAAATAAACGGTTTGAATAAAAGCTGAAGGTTGACTTGTCAACAGTTGGTCGTCACCTGTTGATGTAAACCCTGCGACATGTTTGACGTCTTCAGACGCTGAATCTTCAGTTTTCATCCCGACTCCAGTTTTCAAAAAGTCTCCATGAAGGATCCTTGGATGTGTGTGAAGGAGGGCAGATGTCCGCCGCCACCTCTCCCAGGTAAGAAGCTCAGTCTGCGGCCGTAGCTGCTGACGCTCCCCTGGGTTTAAGCTAGCGGCTAGCTGTGGTTGGTTGGTGGCTAATTAGCTAGCTGCTCTATTGCTCTGCTGTGTTAGCATCTTTTACACCATTGATATCCTTTTAAACTTCAAACATTTTATTCACAAGATAAATTCTGGATTTTGAGACATATTCTCCAACACTTGATCCAGGTGTGGCTGAAGTCTGAGTCCACAGGCCTCTTCGCTCCAGAGTGATAGAGACTCCATTTTGTGTCTTCAGGTCATTTTTCATATGGTTGTGGTCATTTTGCTCCTGTTTATGGTCACTCTGCATTTCTTCGTGGTTATTTTTCATCTAGTTGTCGTCGTTAATTTCTCTTTGTGGTAATCAGCTGCTCCTTTTGTCCATTTTGTGTCTTTTCGTGGTCGTTTTGAAACCCCTGAGCCCTTGTTCCCACAAGTCTCATTAACAATGTGTAAATTCACATACGACTCATTAACCAATTGTATGTTTCTCTCCCATAATTCCTCCATTGGCAGACCTGTGAAAAACACAAGGAATTGTGTTGGTATGTGGTTTCAAGAAGAGTCTTGCAAATCTGAATACTTAAATACTATGAGTACTGTAAAAGTGTTTCCACCTTGGTAGCTGTCGTAGTTTTGGAGGTTTCTTATCAGAACCATATGGTTTCCTACTGGATAATACTGTGTATAGGCTTTAGGGACGTAAATGTGATTCTTATCTTGTCTTTTTAAATCATCATTTCACTTTCTTACACATTTCAGTACAATTCTTCTCATCGTCAACTGCTGAATTTGCAAGCTACCATTTACATTACTGCCTCGCTCAGCTCGACTCATTGTGAACCGTGTGTATTACGTCGATGTTTTGATGGTTATCAGCTCATTCTCGATGTATCATGTAAGAACAGGCTGCCGCAAGCGATAAACTATTTTCATTTTTTTAAATATATAGTTTAATATTCATGTATCAGATGGATAGTTGGACAAATCCATATGACTTTGCTAGTTTGTGTACCCTGAGCAGTCTGACGTGCACAGCAGGATAATGATCAAATGTTGATGGTCATGGTTGCATATAACGTCCATTTGGTCGGTACATAGCAGATTACACTTCATCGATGGCATCAAGTTGTCGTGTCGTTGTTCAGTAATTAAGAGGCTGTACTCTTTTTAATTTATATCACCAGAACCACAAAATAAAAGAGGACAAAAGACTTTTATGATATTTCTTTTTTTTTTACAGAGCAAATTAATCCAAGTTCTTTTATTTACACCATAAATTAGACAGATTTTTATCACCAGTTTCTGTCAGATGCTTGCAAAAATTTAAATTTTATGACACTAATCAAGTTCTGCTTACTCCAGTTTTAATGATGGTGACAGTTTTAACAACAACTTTTTTAATGTGTTGAAATGGTGGCTGCGGGAATTTTAAATCCTTGCTTTAATCTGTGCAGTTCCTCAGTACATCACCTCAGTGTTCCACCTCCCAGAGACTTTGCTCCCCCCGCAGATTCAGCCAGGAGCATGACAGTGAATAATATTTCTGATTTTTTCTTTTGGTTGTTGTTGTTTTTATGTTTCTCCTTGCCTGCTGGAGAAGCTCGGAGCTGCTGATGGTTCTCCGATCTCTGTTTGTTACACTGATGGGAAAAGAGATGGAGGAGGGTGTAGGGGTGCAGAGGGTGTGTGTGTGTGTGTGTGGAAGTTTGAGGTGGTGGTTGGGGTTTTGCGAGTTGCTAGGGCGTAAAAAAGTCCACTACTATTTGTCACCGGCGTCTCTGGGCCTGGCTGTCAGTTGCACTTGCCTGTGCGGTGCAGCAAAGGCCTCTGGGAGCCCTGCGTCGCACCACCAACCCACCAACAGCCCAAAACCCAGAGACATTAACTTTACCACCAAAGAAAAACTAAGGAAATTGATTTAGTTTTATTTTTTTCTTTAAAGACAATTAAACCAAATGATTGAAAATACAATTGAAGCTCTACAAGCTGTACCAATATTAAATTATTTTATCAACCACATTGACTGTGATTTTATTCATGTTTTTCTTAGAAAAAGGAAATTGATCTCCACTAGAGCCAGACAGATTTATCGGTTAGGCATTAATATCAGCCGATATGAGCCTCACACAAACATATCGTTATCAGCATTTATGTGATTTTCTTAATTCAAGTTCTAGATATTTGGTTTCATTTTGTTATTTACAACAAAATTTAGTTTTTTTAAAATAAAATTATGTCCCTTTGTTGACAACGATTAAGCATTTTCATTTATTAATTTTCAGTTGTGTTACTGACCTGTGGATTTCCTTCATGTAAAACAGGTGGCTAAAAATGAAGATGGGCAGAAGCACACACATTCTATACACACACACTCAGCTCAACATGGCGTTGAATGAATGAATTCCCATCATGTGAAGTAAACGGCGATCACAAGATCGGCCCAGGATGTCTTAGTCAAGCTGTCTGTTGCATTAAGGTTATATAACTGAGGGAATGGAAGAGGACATGTATGTGTGTGTGTGTGTGCGTTGAGCGTGTGTGTGGGTTTGAGCTCAGTTCCTTTTATTCACAACTGCGCTCTGACTTTGCTCTTGTGAGGATTATGGACGTGACAGATAGCTTCAAAGAGTATCGTTTCCAAAGGTCGTTATGAGTTATCCTCCCTGTCTGTGTTTTCTTTTTCGATCCAGGAATAATATATATCTTTACTGAATCAGTAAATCCTCATCGAATCTACAGATTCCACTGTGGCTCTACCAACTATCCCAGTGCTTAACTGTGATGCTTTGTTCCCCGAACATTTGCCCTTGGTTCTTTGTGGTTATATAATCACCTTCTGTATGGTAGTTAAGGTCGGAAGTCGATTAATAGGAGTTTGCACTATTTCAGTCAAATGAGATTTTCTTTGGTTGATCAAATTTAGTGGAAACGTTGGGCCTGATCTACTGCTGGGACTCTGCTGTATTCACAGATCCAATGGGGATGTTTGCAGAGTCCAAAATATCTGGTAAACTTAAAGTGTAACTGAAAGGAGGCATAGGTCCGACATTAAACTGGAGAATTGTTCTGCTCTAGCGAAGTCCTTGCAAATTTGCAGGTCGGCTCGGAGTTCCCCAACGAGTCAGACTGTTCACATCCCATTAACTCACTGTTAAAGTGCCTCCAACTTACAGCAACGCCCCCTGATTCCTGTTTTATCTCGACTTTAACAGAGTAATAGCGATTCGTCATCTGACAAGAAGCTCTTGAGTCATGTGACCTTGCGTGAAGCCCGTCAGTGTGTGCAGGCGGAGGCAGGAAGGAGCCTCGCTCACTATGCACACGTATCTCGTTTTACCCTCCCTGTTCAGAGTGAAAAGAAAACAACAATGCTTTGTGCTTGTGAGAGAAAGAGACGGTTATATATTTTTGGATTTAATAGTAGACAAGAGGTTGGAAGCTCTGGGGAAACTTGATCACAGCTTCCTCAAATTCAATGTTGTTTCATTCCTGGACTTAAAGTGCTCCGGCTGAGAACTGCAAGCTCCTTCCAGACCACAGCGGCTGTATTAAGGTCGACACTTGTGTCTCAGCCACACAGTGTTGAAAACTGACAATCTGTCAGTTGTTCCTGCTTTCTGCAGAAATTCCTTGCTCCAAATTACTGAAATGACAAAACTTGAACTACATCAGCTGCCTCAGAGTTGGCATCAAGTTTTCCAAACAAGAGACCAGAGAGGCGCTCTCATTGGCTGTGATGATGAAAGACTGATGTAATTGTTGTATTATGTATTAATATCGGCCAACGTGAGCCTTTCCCAGACGTGTGAGTGTCAGCGAGTTTTTTGCCAATATGCTCAAATATAAAAACTGTTATCATACAGACACAAATGAAAAATAATACACTTATGTTTACATTTTCAAATATTTGGTCTTTTCTATTTATTTATAGTCATTTTAAGAAACTTATGGTTGAATTATAAAATATCAAGCCTCAGTTACATTTCATAGGGGTTACAATAACAACATCCGAGAAAATATATATTGTGGCCTGATTTAGTTTACTCCCAAATAAGCTGATATATTCATGTGTCGTTTGTTGTTTTAGCTTGGGTGAGTCCAGCCTCCTTCCCCCATGCTGAGCGAGAGAAAATGACTTTCTAGGAGTGCGCACTGCTCCGAATTACTCAGTCAACGGTAAAGTGGACTCACACGAAGATACGCAGTGTATATGTACGCGACGCCTCAGGCAGGCTTGGAGCAGCATGTTTGTCATACATAGACATTGACATCCATGAGCGGCTCATTATGATAATTCATTGGTCCTGAAATGAGAGTGCGCTGCTCAGATTCTGAGGCTGAGGCTTAACGTGCCTTTCTCAACAGTTTAATGTAAGTTTTTCCGATTATCTGTAAAACATCATTTTACCAGTGGCTCAAGTGCTGGGATATTTTTGGGTCAAGTGAGTCTGGAAGTTGTGATTTTATTCTCCTCTTGATTTGTTTGTTGAATCAGTTTAAAATCCACTTAATAAATCTCCTTCTTCTGGGTTTCACGTGAGTTAGATTTCAAATGGAAAAGGTCAGTTTATCTGAGTTTAAGAGAAAGACGACTAGACGTCAAATTATAAGGAATAAAATAATAATCTGATAGCTGACTACACTTTTGACATTTGGGGGTGAATTAAACGTAATGTTTTATTATGCCCCCATGCCGGCGACAGCCAGTGGCCGGAGGCATTACGTTTTCGGGTTGTCTGTCTATCCTTTTCTTGTGAACATGTCCAGAACGCCTTGAGGGTTTTTCTTTAAATCTGCTTCAAATGTTCAGTTGGAGTAAAGAATCAACTGATTCAATCTTGGTGGTCAGAGCTCAAAGATCTAGATAGCTGTGACCTCACAAAGCAGATTTTCTTTTTGCCTTGTGATCACGCCTTGAGGAAATTTCTTCAAACATCCACTTGGAATCAAAGATGACTTAATAACAGAACG